CTTGTGCAAGGTGTCGATGGTCGTCTTTTGGACAACTGTCAAGTCAGCAGTCTTCCCCATGATTGTGTAGCCTATAGAACTAGACTGAAAGACCATTTAAAGGCTTTTGCAGGTGGTTTGAGTTAATTAGCTGATTAGAGTGTGGCACCAGGGGCCATCAATTTTGAACCTTTTCACAATATTCTAATTTTCTGATATGATGAATTTGAGATTTTCATTTGTTGTCATTTGTAATCATCAAAATTAAACAAAATAAACATCTGAAATATATGAGTTTGTATGTAATGTATGAATATAATATACAAGTTTCACTTTTTAAATGGAATTACTGAAATCAATCTACTTTTTCATGATATTCTAATTTTATGACCAGCACCTGTATACTGTGAGCAGAATAGAAATCAGAGAACTACAGCAAGAAAAATCTAGAGCAGTACATCACAGACTAACAACATCTCCTAGAAATGGAAGGAGAAAGACATTTTTGAACTAATGCTAGTTTAACCACACACTAATACTGAGGATTAAGAATCTTAGACGCATTGACTGCAGCAATATTAGTATCTGATGACTGCTGTCCAATTATTTTAAAAGAATGATCAGCAACATTGATACACCTTGGAAAGCAGCAATGGCTTTTGAGGGGAAAAATGCAAATGCTTGGTCGTGTTAGGAAAATGCTGTGTCATGGTTTTGTAGCCCCTGCTTTGTAACCTAAGCTCCTTCTTTCTTGTACCAAAAAGGAAAAAAAACAACATTTTCTGTTCTTGTATTTAATCGTTCCATGCCTGTTTCGTTTCCTAAATGGGAATTTTTCACAAGTAACTAATAAAAAAAGTTTTATGTGGGATTTTATTAAACTGCATTGTTTTTCAGAGATAAATGTTTCTTTCTTCAACAGTAGATTAGGAGTGAATTGTGGAAAATAACTTTAAATTATCAACTGTAAAAGTTGAGTAATTTTACATACCAGAAACTGATCACTGATTGACTCTGACTAGAAAATGACCATTTGTGTTTCAGGACTGGCTGCCATTTTAGTTTATGTGGAGCACTTATATCAAACCCACATCATACATTGACAACAAAGGATAAAAAAAAAAAAAACATTTTATCCTAACCGAGTCATCTTTTTAAAAATGTTCATGATCAGCACAAACATGGAGCTTCAGCTTATTTTCCTCAGAGACATAGATAGGGAAAACACCCATATGGATGTCCAGTACATATGTTTTTTGTTTTCTCAGAAAGAACTGCATGAGTCAGAAGAGTTCATGGTGAAGGGGGTCTTTTAGTCTGGAGTCAACTGGCTGACACATGGTGAAACAAAGCTGTGGATTCTCCACAGAGATCCTGGGGAAAAATCTAAGTAATGACAGCAGACATGGATATTGCCAACAATAAATAAAAAAAGAAATTCCCAGTTATTTATTTTGCAGGTAACCCATGTTTAAATGTTTTTAAATTGTGTACATATTTTACAGACTTTGGAGCCTGTGGGTTGAAATAACTTTGCTTATCCTCAATTTTAAAATAGCTACAGAAGTAAAAAGGTCTTTGTTTTATATAGTTGTTATGACTCATTCCCGTTTACAATTGCATTTGGTTTTTAGATGCCAGAAAATAAGAATAAAAGACTCCGGTTTCAGAAAGTGTTTTTTCCTTTTTTTTTTTTAAACGAATTAAAGCTTTAAGAGTGTGTTTATTGCCCGCTTTTCCACAACCTCCTCTACTGTAAGTGAAAAAGCCTTCAGCATCATCAAAAGTTTCTATAAATGTCTCAAAAGGGAGATCTGGTCACCTTAACTGACCAGTACATTTGCTGTTTTGGGTTATATTGAAAATCTACAACCAACCATAACATTTGTGTTTGTTGGCATACATTTTTTTTCCTTTCTTTTGGGTTGTTTTTGCAGAGCCCTGCAGAAAAGCTGCATAAAAACCCATAAATGTGGTTAGCACTCTTAATCACTGCTGTCTGATGCAAGATGCACCTTCAACATCTGTTGAAGATCGTTAAACTTCACAGCAGATGCCCTGAACTGTGGCAAAGAATAAAGTCATGAGTCACCAGACAGCAATTATGGTAACGCTGGTGGGAAGAAACGTGCAAAACAAATTTAGTCAGCACACACAATAAATCTAAAGTAAATTCACTTGTGCATGAGTAAAAGAAAAGTATTGCCATATAAAAAAAAACAATAAAACAAAACCCATGATTATCAACTTGTGATACTTAGAATATCTTAATTCTTAGTTGTGATTTTTTTTCTCCAAAAATGGTAACACTGAGCACACCAGAATGACCACATAGTCATCAAAAGTCCAGTGGATGCTGCCAGGAACCACGGGTTCAAACAAAGTGCCAAAAAAGGCTTCTTTACCCTTTGAGGATCTTTCCATTGTGCCACATTACAGCTGCAGCTTTGATCTATTTTAATTTAATTTGATCTGATATGACACTAAACAGTGTATAATTGTAAAGAAAGCCAGACATGGTGGTTATCATGTTTTTGGAATAAAAACCAGTGGAAGAATTTGCCTATGTGTCATCTATTTTTATATTAAAAAGAGCAGTTCTGTAAAGGCCTCCAAAGTTTGCTAGTGAAGATTAGTAACAGATCCACAGAACAGGTGGAAGAATCAAATGACATTGAAATAAAATCTGTATCTCATTAAAGATGGTGCATGAGCATGGAATGCTCTGAAAAATTCCCCTTGGACAACAGAAAACCCAGTGGACCAACACCAGGAGATGGTATGGGACACTAAACCATCACTAGCTGTGGAAACTCTAGACATCAAGCCACATGGCTTCTCTGCCTCTTCTATCTTCCTCCAGACTCTGGGTCCTTCATTTCCAAAGAAAAAGCAATATTTACTTTCTCTGGAAAGCATAACTTTGGACCACTCAGTTGCTCACTGTTAGCCAAAACAGAAAGCTTCTGATGTCTCTTGCTCAAGAGGGGCTGGACAAAAAGAATGCAACAGCTGAAACCCATGTCTTACCATGCAGTCGTCCTTGAAGCACTGACTCCACCTGGAGTCCACACTTTGTAAATCCCTCCTTACCTTTTGAATGGGTTACTGTCCTCCCAAGGGTGCAATTATCCTTGTTGCTTGTATGCATTTTTTCTACCAAATCTTTCTTTCCCTTCACCTCTATATTAATGTGCTTAAACCCAGAGCTCTGAGAATAACAGCCAGCCTCTTTAGCAATGGTCTTTTATGTCCTGCCCTCATTGCATAAGGTGTCATTGGTCAAGTCATCAGTCTTCCCCCATCTTTGTTTACCTGACAGAACAGTACATTTTAAATGACTTTCAATGTGTTTTAAGTTAATTAACTGATTGGAGTGGAACCAGGCTCCTTAAATATTATAAACGTTTTCTTGATATTCTAATTTGATATGCTAAATTTTGGGTTTTCATTAGTTTTCAGTTATAATAATTTAAATTGAAAGAAATAAACACGTCAATCCCGCTTACTCCTGGGGCAGGTGCCTATTTCCGGCATTCTAAGGGTGATAGGCGGGGTACACCCAGACACAACCATGCACACACACACTTAAGGAGAATTAAGAGAAGACAATTAACCAAACAGTCATATTTTTGGACTGTGGGAGGAAGCAGGAGAACCAACGTATGAACGGGGAGAACATGCAAACTCCACGCAGAAAGACCCAGGGCCAGGATTCAAACCCAGAACCTTCTTGCTGCTAGGCAACAGAGCAACCCACTCCATCACTGTGCAGCCCTAATGTTTAAGTTTAAATGATCAAAATAGAAATTGTTATAAACTGAACTTATTTCATCAGGTTGCATTTGCCCATAGATCCGAAATCACTGACGAATACCAGCCATGAATCAGCCAACAATTTTGGTGTTGACAAGAACAACACTGGGCTGCTCAGTGGACAGTGGGTAGCACTGCTGCCTTGCAGGAAGAAGGTTCGTAGCATGATTCCCAGACCGGGGTCTTCCTGTATGGAGTTTGCATGTTCTACCTGAGAATCTGTGGGTTCTCTCAGGGTACTCCGGCTTCCTCCCACAGTCCAAAAACATGACTGTTAAGTTAATTGGCTTCTCTAAATTGTCCTCAAGTCTGAGTGTGTGCAAGAATGGTTGTTTGTCCTGTTTGTCTCTGTGTTGCCCTGTGATGGACTGGCGAGCCGTCCAGGGTGGACCCTACCTCTCGCCCGTAGACAGCTAGAAATAGGCACCAGCACCCCTCGTGACCCCGAAAAGGGATAAGCATGACTGATAATGGATAGATGGAAAATCAACACCTGATGGCGATAAAGATTCCTAACAGATTTCATTCAATTGGTCAGACATTGCTGTGAAAGTGAGAACTGTCTTGGCAGAGTTTGTTTTTTCATTCTGATCTCATTTGTTAGATGTTCACTTGTATTGCCTAAACCTCTCCCAAAGCTGTGTTTAAAGCTGAGTCGTGTTCCTTCAACAGCCACTGAAGCCAGGGTGACCAGAACCATAAGAGTAAAACTGTCTCTAACACTGCATTAAGTGTGGGTTCAGCATGACCCGTGCAATGAGATGAATAATTCATCCCAGCAGTTGTTGCATAAAGTGAATGATAGTCCAGTCCAAATCTGAGGCTGCACTGTGGGAGAAAAACAAACCCTAAAAGGAAACAGAAATGTTGTATCAGTAGCACAGTCATCATATTTACCTATTTCTTTTAGACTGAGGTATCTGGATTCATTTTTATTGTATTTATTATTTTTTTATTTATTATAATTATTTTTTGGTCCTTCACATTTTCCAGTATTTTGATGAAAGTATATCTATTTGCTGCCACCTGCTGGATAATAGCTGCAAATGGGAAAAAAAAGACATGATGATAGATAGATAGATAGATAGATAGATAGATAGATAGATAGATAGATAGATAGATAGATAGATAGATAGATAGATAGATAGATAGATAGATAGATAGATAGATAGATAGATAGATAGATAGATAGATAGATAGATAAAAATCGCTCTGAATTGAACTCTGTTACTCTGTTCGGAAAGGGGGCGGAGACGTCGTTGTTATGGTAACCGCAACACACCAGTAAGGGACCAGTAAATCAGTGAAAGGACGAACTTTTTAAACTCTCCGAAGTTTAATAATTGAAAAGCAGTTTTTTGTATTTTTTCCCCCCTCCCTGATGATTGGGCTCTGGCCATGGAAGAATCTTCTACTCCTGTTTTTCAAGTCCTGGATGAGGTAAAACTACCGATAATCGGATTAGAATAGAAAATAAAATAATTATAACACGAGTGGCACATTTAAGGCGTTTTAAAAAGTATTTTGACTTTGGTATTTTATTTACAAACATATTTCCTAAGTAATCTTTCTTCAATACAGAGAGCGACTGTCTGAAACTTGCAAGAAAAGTTAGTTTTTAAATCTAAATACTCATGGTACAATATTTTATCATACTTACTTTTATGCGTATTTGACATACAATTGATAAAGTAGGAGAAGCTAAGTCTGAAAAGTATAAATCAATTTTATTTTATTTTTACTTTTACGGTATAAATCAATTTTCAGCGCCTCTGATTGGCAGCAGCTGGCTCCTATCCTGATTGATTGGCCAATCAGCTGAACTTCATTACCTGAATATTATCAATGTGACCACCACTACATAAAGTTAGAGTTTTGGCACTTTTTCAGCTCTGAAATGTGTTTTCTTTATCATAAAAAAAATTAGTGCAGAGTTTATAAAAACCGTAAAAACTATTGATGCCCCAGTAAATTCCCTCAAAGGTGAGATAAAAACCTGAATAACTGCTCCATTTCAAGGATATCCATCTGTCTGTGGGTCTGTCTAAACAAACTTCCATTTTATCTGAAAATACAATAATGTCCCTGCACACTTATTAGTGATTTTATAGCAATTGAATATAAAGGAGGGTGAATTAAGCTGAGTACAAACTAGTATTTGAAAGTGATTCCAAACATAGCAAGAAATGTATAGCAGAATGGGTAGAAAAGCAGTGGTTCAATCCATTTTAGACCATTGCATAGTCAAAATGCTGTGTTGTGTATACAAGACAGGATCACAGTGCATTAAAAATAGGACTGAGTTGTACAGAAAATGCACAAATAGGCTTTTGTGTAAGCCAATGAGACATGTACTTAGTTCCTCACATGATAAATAAAGGGCACCCTGTTTAATAATGCATTTTGAATTTATATTTAAATAATGCACAGACCAGATTGGTAAAAATGAATTGAAATGCTGTTCATTTGTTTACCATGCTCTAGTACGCGTATGTGCTTTCTTCATCCTCTGACATAGGAGTTGGCTCAGAGCTCGTCTGCCTTTTACAGTTGCTTTTTTTTTTTTTTTCATCTCTGCTTCTGTCTCATTGAACCACAGTCGGGCTCGGCAGACTGGGCAGACTGGGCAGTTTCTTCCTGTTTAAAGGAAGTTTTTCCTCTCCACTGTCGCTACAGGCATGCTTAGTGTGAGGGATTGCATTCGAGTCAATGAGTTGATGCAATCAACTGGTTTTCTTAGATAGAAAACTTTGAATCGAATTGAATGTGTGATCTGGTGAACAGTAAAGTGCCTTGAGATGACATGTTTTGTGAATTGGCGCTATAGAAATAAACTGAATTGAATCTTGTACTAAAACTCTCAAATGCAAAAATTGACTATACACCATCAAACTTTCTTTTCTTCTTTTTTATTGTAAAAATGTAGAATCAATTTTGGCATGACAGATTAATATGAATAGAAAAGATCAGTATGATTGATGCACAGAGGTCCAAATATGCACGGATTTGCTTAGAATGTTCACAATTATACACAGTCAACAGTGAATAGACTTTGCACTGCATGATCAGCAGTACATATTATCATATAAAAGCTCTGATACATAACAGGGTAAAATAAATACTGTACAGATCCTCAAACATAAACATTTCTTCTTTTTTCCCTCCATCTTTGCCTTTCAATGTGTATAAAATGAAATGTGTGGTGATATACTGTCTCTCAGCACTAGATGGCAGTATTGTACATATGGTTGATAAGGAGAAACTGCAAGTTAAAAATGTGGAACATTAGGAGCTCTGCAGTGCATCAAGGGATGATGAGAGAAAATAATTGAAGTTGTTTAGTGTCTAGCCCAATTTATCAAGAGTCTGCAACCTAAAGTGTCCCGCATACAAGTCGAACTATGAGGAGACCTGTCAGGCTGCATATCCTCCCTGGGGAAATTCATAATATTTAGGATAATGATACATTACCACACTGCCCCAGTGTAATTAAACAGTCCCAGCAGGAAGTTTTTCATGAGTAATTTCAGAGGCAAAACTCCATCATCAGCTCCCTCACTTGAGTGGTCGTTGTTAATTATGAAATCATTTACAGCAGAGAAAATGATAGCTCATTAGTTTTTACTACTGGTATGTGCTGTGCTGTGCTGAGGCTCAGCAGGGATTATAGCAGGATGCAGGGGGACGAAAGTGGGAGAAATGTCAGGGACTGGTGAAAAATTATGCTGTAGGATATTACAGCACCCGAAAAAGGCTGGCCTTTACTGTTTTTTTTTTTTTGTCTGTCATTTTTCACAGCTGATTTTTCCTCCTTTATTATTATTTTCATATTAATCCAAGATTTCAAAGGCCACACTTGCATCAGTGAAAATGAGATGGTGGACAGTAATATGGTATTTCACACTGAGTTTTGTTAGTACTGCAGTGAAACTTTCTGTAGAGCGTATCTTTTTTGTGTCTGTGTGTGTCTATGTAAGCATGTGAATAGCTAAAGGACAATGTATTCACTTTAAATTTCATGGATTAATTTTTTTCCCCTCCTTTTGGGTAAAGATGTGTCTGTCCTCCTAAGGAGCATAGTTTTTGGGCCGTATCATCATCTTGACGGTCTTGAAGGCCTGCCTGTAGTTGGTGGGGTAGTACTCTGTCGTCATGTTGTGCCATGTTCCCCAGAAGATCCCGTTCCTCACGCCCTTGTACCTCTTGTGGTAGTACTTCCCGTTGAGGTTGGCAGACATGCAGGCATCAAACCACCAGCCGGAGCTGTAGTAGCCACCGCAGTTTCCAGAAGGGTACATGTCGTTGTCACGGTCAGGGGTGGAGAAGAACTTCTGGTCGTGGTTGAAGTGCTTGTTGAAACTCATGGCGTTCCCTGCCGTTCCACTGTAACAGATTGGGGTATATACAGTTTTAGTGAAATACTTATATACACTCATAATAACCATTAATTGTAGCCCAAAAATATGTATAGAAGTTTAATGTTTTTCAATTTATCGAATAGCCCAAATACAGGTTAAAGTTTTTGCATGCACCCCTCATTATAGATAATCTGGACCTTTACTATATTGTTAATGTTTGCAGGAAGTTATCTTACATAATTCTGATTGGATATTTCACCACCTAAACATAACAGACTTTAAGGTTAGTGTTCAACCTTTGGGATGATGATTCAAGAAGTCTGATTGGTCTATATTGTGACATTTTTGTTGTGCCATGTTGGAATACCCAATGCTATCAAAATGTAATCCATTTGAACCAAACTGTCCTGTAACAGTGGAAATCATTTGGCCACTAGAAACAACTCAGCTTTCACTGTCCAGAGTTCTGCTTTTAAACCAAAAAAAAAAAAAAAAAAAAAAACTGTCTAAACTGACTGTATGGTAGTGATATAGGTTTAGCTAGAATCTGCTGCAACCAACAAAGACAAGTCAGATATCTTGTAGAAAAAATTCAGATGGTCATGGAGACAAAAGCATGGCTTTGTCTCTGCAGATGGGACTGGTACATTGCACTAAGTGAGTTAAGTAGTGAAGGGTGGCTACATTCAAGTTCTTTCCAACTACCATGAACACAATCGATTAAGATTTTGTTATAAAATACTGAAGTGCTGCAACAGGAAAATGGTCCCAAACACGGACTCTGGGATGGGTGAAACAAGCTAAAAACTATTTTTGAAACTATTAAAACCTCAACATAATCTAAACTTGTGGGCTACATTTAAAAGTCTGACTTTTACCAGATCAAACATCCTACCAGATTATTCCTCTGGCCTTGCATATAATGACCCCCAAATAGGACCATTGTACCTCTGACTTTAAGCAAGCACTGAGCTGGAATTGCTGGAATTATCATGTGATAAATTAACTAATACTGTACCTGTATCCGCTGATGGAAAGTCGGTAACGTAAGTACTCATTAGCCACGTAGAACTGGTCATATTTTGCATATTCCCGGACTCCCTCAAAGTCCTCCAGCTCTATGCGTAGCACCATGTCTTTAGCCTTCGTCAGCAGGTGAATATGGTCATTGCCGAGCCAAAACTCCCCTCTGCCAGATACAAGGTTGGAGAAGAACAATAGAAGACGAGAAACCGAGAATTAGGCATATATTAAAAACAAGCTCAAACACGGTTACAAATTACATATCTATTTGGATCAAATGAATTTATCTCAGCATATGGAGGGGGGAGAAAAGTGAAGAATGTGACACATAAAAATGGATGATAAAGATTTTTTTTTTTTGTAAAAGGGAGTGTTGGGGCCTTTGGCATAGTTATTGAAGTTACCATGGTTATTTTTCAGAAAAAAACAACAGAAGATAAAAAATAAATGAAGATATTGATCTGAGAGTTGACTTCATAATGCGTAAGCTCGTGCACTTCTCACTGGCTATTACTTCCAAACATCAACAGCCTTGTGTGCTAAATAATTGATTTTACTCTGAAACGTTTGCAGCCTGCAAAAAAAAAAAAAAAAAAAAAAAAATTTTGTGTGGTCAGAATTTTATTCATTTTCCATGTGAAAATCAATCCATGTTAGTGAAACAGGTGGCAAACGATCTGGGATATTGAGAACAGTTGGGCTTAGTTATTGTTATGGCATCTCAAAGCAGGCCAGGCTCTTTTTACTGGAGGTTTGTGAAGTGAAATTCTTTAGATGGATTCATTTTCTATTAAAGCTTATGCCCTGAGATCCAGCACTGCATGTAAATAAGCTGTACATTCTGTGAGTACCTGAACACAGGGCTGCATTTCAATGCAGATGGTGAAAGAATAAAGCTTTCTCAGTGTGGCTGTCAGGTACGGCGATGACTGCAAACACACACTGTAGTTTGATTTTTAATTTCAGTTTAAATGTTGCAGCTGTCTGACTGGGGTTTAATGGAAAGAGGGATTTTGTAACCCTTAATTTTTATGTCTGATTCCAGCTTCTTCCTTCTCTTGTCAGTATACACAACCAAAAGCATGCTGCCTTATCCGACAAAATGATTTATTTTGTCATGGATTGATGGAAATAAGTTTTGCAATATTTTCTAAAGAAAAAAAATTATCCCTTTTTTTTATTTTTTTTTTTATTTTTTTAGACAAGGATTTACAAATCATCAAACATCAGTTTACTTTCGTCCTTTTTATATGATCAAAAAATAAATATAACAACAATATGAATATTTCAGAGTTTCAAATGGGCAAAAATAAACTGGGCAAAAAAAAAAATCTGTTTCCAAATTCCAGGAACTTTCTATTGAGTGAGGTTAAACTGGAAAAATATAATAAAACAGGAGCAAATTCATCAGAATAGAATAAAAGCAAACTACCTTTCTTTTTTCTGTTTTTGGGCCTTGGACTCTTTTCTTACTTTTTATACATTAAAGCTTTAATCACAACAGAAATATCAAACCTATTAAGAGGAAGCTGGCCACAACAGAGTAATTGGCTTTCCTAACTAGGTAGATATTCTTAAAATGAGACGTATTAAAACTTGTTAAATTGCTTTCCAAGCCACCTATTACATTTTTAAACTATGCAGTGAAAGCTCTGAATATTTCATGCACTTTATACCGACAATAGACTTAATTTTGTATTTCCTCCTCACCCTTTATATTTCAGACCAAACTTTGTTTTTCAGCCTTCCAATCTCTGAGTGCTTGTCTTATATTTGCAGTATTACTTAAAGTGCTTTTGTCAGCAAAGCTTTGCGAATTTGGGTAAATTTGATAAATTTATATGGCATGATTGCGTGTGCAGAATAGATAAAATAGCTGCATATAACATTATCGGCTTGATGCTTTACGCTTAATGTACAATTACTTTACAGGTAGTTTTCCAGAAATACTCCATTCAGTATCTTAAACAGCATTTCAAGTACCACCCTTAACCCCACGTTGGGCTATGCCACCCTTAAGCTGTGCCATAACTTTCTGATCCATTGTGCGGAGCAGATCAGAATCGTTATATAGACTATAATCCCCTCTTCATTTATGCTGCAGTATAGATGCTCTGCATTGTAAGAGGCTGTTGTAGAACCATCCTCTTGACTGAAATATTTCTGAATAATGACACTGTCAGGCATGGCTTTCTCTGCATGGCTTGCATTCCAATTTTGTACTCTGGTTTAGTGCCACAGTCACCATAAAAGTGGGGAGTCAAGCTTCATAAAACGCTGCATCCTACAAATCGTATAATGCTTCTCAGTTGCAGATTTTATTAGATCCTCCATGCTGTTAAATCCAGAGGTTTATAGTGCAGATCTTTGTCAGGTTAAATTAACCTTGATGTAAATAGGGTTATTTTTCACTCCATAGCCGCAAAGTGTTTACCTCAACACTACAGTCAGCATGCTGAGGGTTTGCACTATAACCTCTTCTGTGACCCCATTTTAGCAGCAGCTTTTGTTCTGTATGGCTTGAATAATGTGTCCAGCCGTTTTCTTTTTATGAATTTAAACAAAAAAAAAAAAAGAGAGAGAGAAATGTACCTTAGGTTTCCAAACCCTTTCTTGTACTCTGTCCATGTGCGGTTGAAGCTGACAGACCCATTGACGCGCTGCTGAATGACAGTCCACCCCCCACCGAAGGACTCCATTTCACAAAAAACCTCAAATGTTCCATTGCGAGGGTCAGGGGTCACACGGTACACGCCGTTTTTCCTCACCTCCATCGCGTTGTAGTCTGAGCAGTCTCGAGGCGCTATGATAACTGTGTGGATGGAGGAACACAGAGAGAAAACACTGGAAGTTATTTTAATTGGGTGTCATTTACTAAAGTGAAAGTCTGTTTCTAAAAAAGCAGTAAAATATAACTATTTAAATTATGTTACAAAAATGTTGACACCTGATTTTTATTTTTTATTTTTTTTATCTGTTTAAGAATACTCAAATGAATCAAAACCATTAGCAACCCTTTTCTCAAACATTTTAAGGAAATGGTTTCGATTTTTATTTATTTTTTTACATGCATTTCTAAGAAATAATGTGAGGAGTCAAATAAAAATGAGCGACAGGTCCTCCCCTTATTTCAACTCTGCATTTTGAAATTTTTATACACTTATTAAGGCAATCTACAGTGAAAATATTCATTTGCTTTTCCATGAAAACAGCAACATGTCATTATTGTTTTGAAAACTTAGATTGTGTCAAAAATTATTTATAACTTTTAAAAATATTGTCTCATGGCCAGAGTATGCAGTGTGCAGCAACAAGTATGGGAGAGACAGGAGTAGAGTACTGTCATAGATTCTTTTCCTTTTGTCATTTTTCTCTGGTGTTTCTTTAAACTCACTTTAATAAGAACTGGACCACAAAAAAGATTTTTATACATAGTTAGGAGTGATATTCAGCACATGCCTACACCACTGTATTAGGAAAAATGACATTTGCAATTTTATGACTGAATATTATATGACTGTAATGATCACAATTTCTTTAATTGTCGAATTCTTCGCTTTTCAGTAATCACAACTTTCCCATTTATCTACGTGATCATTGCCACCTCAACCCTAAAATCTTTTGGTTGGCAGAAATGTGCAGGAAAGTCTTAATTAATAAAAACCTACTTAAGTTGTCATCCAAGCAATTCTAGATAGATAGATAGATACTGCATGTTCAATATCAGAATCATTTTATCAGTTTTTGCACCCTCTATCTTTCTCCAGCTGTTTGTTTTATTTATTTTTTTAAGTGATCCACAGCAAGTACAAGTCCAACCTCCAAATACGAGCTTAAAGGTGTGTGTCAGGAAGTATTTATGAAGTGACAGGGATGGACTTATCAAAACCTGGGAAAGTGTGAAACTGGATTAGAGAAGCATGGCTCCTTCTAAAATGATTTCGACACCAGGTTAGTTGCGTGTAGACCCTGTTGGGTTTCCATTGTTGACGCTGTTGACTCCTCCTGCAAGAGCTTTTCAGTGCAACGGTGAATTAAAACTGACATGAACCTCAGGTAACTGGAGGGAAAGTCTAGACTGAAAAATGTGTGATGACTAGATGAAAAGGGATCATTGTGAGGTTTCAGATGCTTAAGGACTCCAATTCTTTTTCTCAGCACGTTTCAGAAGACACTTAAACTGCAAAAGGTCTGTGGATAGCGAGTTTCAGTGTGGAGAATGGTTTAAAAGTCAAGGGTGGGGTTAAATTGTATCCTTGTCACAGTAATGACTCTGTCAGCATTTGGCATTTAAAGTATTGACCTGTGATTTTGTTCCTCTGTCCTATTCGCTTTTCAGTGTCTTTTTTTTTTTTTTTTTTGCAGTTCACTACTTCCTCTGTATTTGTCCTCATCCATCTGACAAGACAGCCAGTTTCCCTGGATGGACAAGCTAATCTGGCTCTGAGCCTGAAAGTAGCTTTAATTCAAGTACTGGTCCTTGCTGATATCTGAACGACTGCACGTTGTCTCTAATTGAGGAATTAGAGGACAGCTGCTCTGAGAATGTCATGGCAAGAGAAAATGGCATTAGTCGCTTTTGCACACAGAAGCCCCCTACTGGGTTTAAATGAAGTTTGGATTCAGATTTAATATAATTAGAAAAACATGCAACACTTTACAGCTAAAATCAAAAACATTTTGTTGACACAGGAAGTTATTGATATTGAAGCATGTATCGTTTTCCTCTTTTTATGCAGTTAAGGATTAAATATGCTCTTGAGCATTCACTACATTATCAGGCTAAGTTCTCTGCAGTCTTTGTCTTTTATTAACTTGTTTGGCAAGTGAATGTAAGCCGCTTAGTCTGACAAACAGTCATCATGCTTATTAAAAACCTCTTGAACACTAATCTGATTGAATATCACATTATCTGTGTAGTTCAGACTGAGTACTTCCATCATGAAAGGAAACAAATATAAAGACAAGGCAGCAATAAAACAATGGCTTTCTTCTTTGAGGTCATTGTAAGCTTAAAAAGGTTTGTTCGCTCAGGATAGATTGAAACTCATCAAAAAGAAAACATTCATTTGTAGAAAAGCACATTGTGAGATCTATTTTCATTTTGTGTTACTGAGTTAATGTAGCTTAACACTTGAACTGCGATCATTTTGCCTTGAGCATTAGCAGACTTCTGATGGGAAGCATCAGAATTGGCAGCAGGGGTGGAAAAGCATGTTTACAACACTGTAAATTGCTTTTATTGCTATTTACTACTATTTCACTGAAATTTTAGTTCCTGCACTGTTGGTTTATATTGTGCCCAATGAACTTTTCTACCAGTTTACACATCCATGCATGGCGTTTCTAAGTGAATATTTACTGTACCTCACATCTGGATACATTGAGGGGTGACCAAACTTTTTTCCATGGGGGGCTAAAAATGTTCAAATTCCAAATGTTTATTGTTCATTGTTACCTGCTTAACAATAAAGTAAGCAGCTTACAATGTTTTCAGACTGACTATTTTGGTCTAGATTGTTCTGGGTGTCTTCATCAAAAGTTAATTTAACCTAATTCCAACAGTGTCAAAAGAAAAGATCAAGAAATAAATAAAATCATTGCTGATTTAAGAAAAAAGGTGTGGCACCTCACATTTCTATAGACAAGTATTTTTTATTATGACCTTTTTTTAGGGGTTTTGCAGTAGTAAAAAGCTTTACTAACTTCTTCCATTAGTCAATGAGCAAACCAAATTCATAGCACTCTAGAAAATTGGTTAAAAGGTTGCAAATGGCCATGAGGCAGCACTTTGGTCACGCCTGGTTTAGAGAAAACTTCTGCAGCTTTTAATGGAAATTTCCATCAAAAGCTTATGTCACACTGATTCTCATCAGGCCCTTGCTGATGGACATCATTCTAAATGTAAAATAATTTGTTAAATTAACAGTCAGTAATGGACAGGGTTGTTTTTTTTTCACTTCATTGCACAATTATGGTACATAATACATAATATTATGCCAAATTACCTTTTTGTCTTATTGAGTTTCAATGAATTACAAGCCCTCAGACGATATGGAGGGGTTTGAATTGTTCTCCTAAAACATTTAAGGATGTAAATACTCTATTAAGCAATGTCCCTTGAGTCTTACAGCAATTATTTATTTACATTAAGCTTTGATATAAAACTGCACTTTCATCAAAAGAGGTTTGCCAGTTTCCTTTCTACAAGCTTTGCCATGTCCTTTTCTCGACCCGAGGGAGACTAACTTTCTAAATTGAGCTTAACTTGATGGATTGTTTGTACAAAGACAAGTATGACTGACTGGTTAAGCCATCCATGACTTGTGCAATGTCAGGGGAGCTGCATCAACTGCTGCTCATGTTATTATCAAGTCTTATTATGCAGCAAAATGTAAAAGCATGAATGCAAAAGGAACAGCAAGGGGAGAGACACACTGAGGTGAATTGGAACAAAGCCTAAAGAAGCCAGAAGTTAAATAAGCAAGAGAGACAGAAATGGAAAAAACTGAGTTGATTTCTCAAATTAGATATAAAGGGGAAAATGATAGGAATTTAGAGCAAAGTTTGGAGGAGACAAAGACAAGAGACGTAATTCCCTTCACACCGCTGTCCCAGCTAATCTGCTTAGAAATAAGCTCACATCTGTTTTCCACATGAAAGCCCCAATACAGTGTCACATCCATTCATGCAGTATCAGGAAATTATTCACTTTGTAGAGTGCATTTCTGCTGTGCTCTCATGCAAGGGAGCTTTTACATCAATGCAAATTGGGATGCTTGTGGGGTTTAGCTAGTTTTTAGTTCCTACCAATAGATTTTAGAGAGACTATAATAAGATTTTACATGCAAAGCTTTTTGAACTCTTTGTGACTATAAAGCCAAGTATGTGCCTCTGCCTTTTAGAGTTGCAGCCTATCAGGCTAATGGAGAGTCAAAGCACTTGAAATGGTTATGTAAGAGCCAATGGGAATGGAGTTTTTCTGTCTGAGTTTAACATTGCTTCACCATTGCTCATTATGATCTCAATTTGAAAGAATTTTGCGTGTTTAAAATAAAACTACCTGAATATGACGATGGCTATGTTCTATTCGAATCCATAATTATGTGCTGCTAATTGCTTTGGTGAGGGAAAATTTTTGTATGCTCTGGTAATGTTTGGAATTGTATTTGCATATTTTACTAGCCTAACTTAAAAAGGGAAAAGGTAACGGTATAGAAATAGTATTTTAGCCTTCACCTCCTGTCCTATCTGATCCCTCCATCTACCCACGAATAGTGGTGAGGTCTTGCAGTTTAAAGTCTTGTCTAAAAGACCTATGAGTGTGCTCAATTCTGCCATCCAAAGCAAACACTAATTTACATAAAGTTCATTAAAAATGCATTCTAAAACAAAATGTCTAATGTAGATACTTTCGTTTCCCATTTCCTACAACAAAAGCCCCTGTAAGGACAAGGCCGTCGAGCAGTTTGTTTTTTCAAGTGATTGCATTGTCCACTTTGGAATGATTGGACCGTCCCTGTGCCAGAACATTTGCCTCCCCACAACCCAAACTGCACAAGCAATATCTGTGCTGGGGCTTACATCTGTAGGGAATTCATTAAACAGAAATGAAAAGTTAGGAATGCTCTTAATCTCGTTCAAATGTGTTAAAAAACATGCATGGGAGTCAAGTGAACCAGATAAGAAGATATTTATCAAAGTGTGCTAGAAATATGCTGTGAAATGTACATCTGAGGATGTAAAGATCTTGTAAATTTTATGCTACAAGAAAAAAATTATAAAAACATTAGAGGATTTAAATTATTTACATAATCACCCCTAGAATCATAGAAGAAGATTGCTTACACTGGGGGCTGTTCTGTGCTGCGCACTGAGTAGTACAGCTGGAGCTCAGCTTGTTGACCGTTCCGGTGATGTTCTCCACCTGTCTGTCCACCATTGCCTGCACGTTGTCCATGTTGAGCAGGTTTAGTCCCTCCAATCTACCCTGCAGAGCTGAGATCTGGCTCCTGGCGTTGCGAAGGCTTGCGGACATCCTATTCAGTTTCACCTGAGAAAAGGCCAAGAGCAGGGGTAGAGAAAATTGTTTTTGGCACAGACTACAAAGCAGGTGGATTACTGCAGGCACCAGCCAATTTGAATTTCAGAATGGCAACAGTGTCTACGAGACAATTGGCTGTCTGCCAAAGTGGCTGTGAGAATCAACAAGCTTGCCGCCTAGTCCCCAAATTGACCACATTTCGATTGGTTTTCTAATGCCTACCTTTTATCAAGGTTTACAGTGTTAGGAATTTCCTCTGGAATGGTGCCAAGAAAGACTTTACGGGTCTTTAAGCATCTGCTCTGTTAATGCTCCACTTGGGTGCACTTGGCTAAGCATGTTTAGGGTTTCACCAATGTTTATACAGCTCCACCTTTGTCCATTTTATTAGATAATTATCTATGATCATTAAAAAGGGGAGAACCAATGCCATCAGCTTGCTAAATATGTGCATAGTTTTGATAAAATGGAATGGATTGGTGCATTACTGTCATTGCAGTGTTTGCATTTCCTTGTAAGCAAGTCAGGTTATAACAATAGTACATGTGGGATTTGTAACAATAACCTCAGTTTAAATGGCAACAGAAATTATCCTGTTTGGGAAAAATAATTTCAAGGCATAAAGTTAGCATCTTACCTGCATCTCCTGGATATTACTTGGGCTAGGTGTAATTTTCCGAAAGTTGGAACCAAGTCTGGTACCATCCAAATTAGCTCCAGAAATCATGCCATCTCCCCTTTCCTCTTGGCTGGACCCCCTCTGAAGATCCTGCCCTTCCTCAGCATCCCTTTGAATGGGAATCTGTGTCTGTACCTGGTCTGCTTGCTGATATCCAAAGACCACATTGCTCTGCTTCATAAGACACTCTTGACACCCGCTTTTCAGCTTGTTCACCTCCTCTTTAAGGCTCTGCAGCTCCTTCATAGTCTTCTCCAGCAGCCTGAACTGCTTGGGTAGCTGAATGGTAAGGGGAGGCAAGGTGAGCTGGTAGGGGCATTCCTCACTGTCATCTGCCCCAACTCCTGAGCTCCTACAATGGCCAGAAGGTCGAAGTTTCACAGAGCAAGAGGTTGAGTGACCCGATTCAGATCCAAGACTCTGAGGTCCTCTGGCATCCCAACGCTGGTGAGAGTTTACACTGTAGTCTGCTGCCCAGATGGTTCTCGGCACCAAAGTGGTCATGAGCAGGAGGGAGGCACAAATGCAGAGCAACATTGTCCTTATTTTTAGCAAGATTTGCTGAAGCAAAACAAGTCTGGAGGTCAAGAAGAGGGGATGGAAGTAGCTTGAATATGATTTTGCAATCTGAAAGAGTTGAGTTGTCTGAGTGTGTAAGTACTTGCCTGAAGATTGTAAGTAAAAGAATAAAAAAAAAACACAAATATCTGTTCAGTATCTCTCTGGATTGAGCGGGTTGCTCTGTTTGTATTTTTCCGAGCGCGTGTGTGTAAGAGTGCAGCCTGCAGGAGGAGGAGAGTGCAGGGGAACTGCTGCTGCCTCAGATAGCTGTGTCATTAATATCAGGACATGGGAGGGAGGGAGAGAGGTAGAGAGAGTGATGGGAGAGAGCAACACCAAGTATAGGAGATTGGGAGGGGCTGTACTATTGCGTATTACAAAACAGTTTCCACAGCATTTACAGAAAGTACAAAAATTAAGAAAGATTGGAGTGAGTTTTACATTGGGGAAAAGAGAGGCAGAGAAAATGTAAACGGGGATGAACAGTGATAAAAGATTGGTTTTTTACTGTCATTAAGATAATTTTGCGCAGTTGGGTGGGGTAAAATACTTTTGCATTTATTAATTAGAACTCAGCAGAAATGATTTGATTTGGAGGGGGTTTTTTTTAGGTTTTTTTTTTTTATTGATGACCTTTAGAATCCAATCCACTTAATTTATATAGCACGATTTCAATAAACACAAGGTTTCCAAAGTGCTGCACAAAAATGATAAAATAACTAAAATAAATAAAAGTAAATAAAAAAAATAAAAAAATAAAAGCACTACCCGCATAAAAATATGCATGTGTATACATAAAATCAACATGTGTATAGAATAGCAAGACCTTAAGGTGAACCTGTTTTACTTTCAATTCTTTAAATGTTGCTAGACACTTTTTTTTTTTCAAAGTCAACAAGCAATCTATACATTCCTTTCCTTTGAGGTATTAAGATTATATGATACACTAGGTAACTTGTCAAAGCTAGTCTCAAAGGAAATACAAGAAAACATGTTATTGAATAAAATCTAATGTGTTTCTATCTCCAAGAAAATCTGAAAATCTCACCTTCATCTCCAACGAGAGCAAATGTAAATATTTAAACAACTGAACCTTTGACAAAAAAGGCTGTATGATAAAGTTTACATTTTCAATACAAATATCATTGGGGAGGGGGCTTTCAGATTAAAGTGCAGAAAAAATGACATCTTGGGTCACCAGGTCTCCTCTATTTTTTTTATCTTACAAAACACCTTTTTGTATATTTTTAAAAACTGCACATATAATGAAACATTTAATTTGTGCAAGCCATCCAAAGTCCAAGATGTGGTTAAGTCCATACAGATGTAAGTTTGTTTTTAATCTAATTGTTCTTTTGTTTCAGTTGTTCATCTAATGCTTAAATTCAAACATTCTTAAGGGATATTGAGGTAAAAAGAAAAATATATATATAATATAAAAAAACTATACTATAAAAAAATATGTTTTCATTCAAGTATGCTTTGGTGGAGCTTGAGGAGTCCTAATTTGTAGCCTCACTGTTATTGTTCATATGCACCAGTTGATAATAAGATTGCATGTTTTAATTGCTGTGTTGTAACCAGTGGTGGCTTTATGAAATAGTTTGTTTGCTGAAACACAAACAATAGTTCTGTTAAGCAATAAACAGTAGACTTGTTTTGTGTATCACAATATTATAGTAGTCTTCCTCTGTGGTTTTGTTTAGAATGGCCATAAATAAATTAACACTTTGAAAGGCACATTCATTATTAAGTTACCATCTTATATAAATTAAAACACATCAACAATTTAATTCTACAGTTAACCACACATCTTCCTAAAGCAGTTCTCTCCCAGGCTAATATACTTAGAGTTGATTTTAGTTTGGAATAAAATGTCCAGTTTTTTTCTGAAATATAAAAAAATATATCAGTTTAGATATAGTTTGAATTATTCATACTCTTCATAGTGATTTGTTTTTAGAATTTTTGTTTCAAGTTTTTGAATTTTTGATTAACTGTAAAACCTACAACAGAGGATTTAGGAGTCGATTGTCTGATGCGTGTTTTATTAGATCTGGATTAGCTTTTCAAATATATCCCTTAAGGGAAGTTTATTAAGCACAATTTATTGGCAAGACAATTTATAGTTTTATACATGAGGAGAAAATAAAGCCTACATTGCAGAAACATATGAAGTGAAGAGAATTACAGTGACACCGCAAAATAAAATTATTATATTAGAAAAGTGGTACTTCTAAGATGCTGAAGATGACTGTGTATAGCATACCTGTTGGGTGTTGAAAGTGCTTTATAAATAAATTGGTATGGTATGATACGGTATGCTGATCTAGTTGCAGGTTCTGTTCCATGGAGGGAACTGTATAGGGAGGTTGTCAATCTCATCTAGGTTCTAATCTTAGAAAAAACTTCTTTCATATTGTCAGGGAAATCAAGTGATGATAAAACTGGGCTTGATGGAGAGAGGGTGGATTTTGGAGCGGTCAGGGTAAATAGAGTTTGGGGCAGGTGATTCTGTTCAGGGTCAAGGTTTTGGTAAGAGAGATGTAGAATGGGGGGGCTGCACATGTTCTGTTGAGTACGGTGAGGAGCTCTTGGTCTGGGTTGGAGTGTCGGAATAGGGTGGTTTGAAGTGGGGCTTCAGTTGTTTTACAGAAGTTGGTGGGAGACATTTTTCTTTAGTCATTTTGTTAGTGTTAAAGGAGTGTCTGAATTGCTCTTAGAGCTATTTTAAATGTATTGATCCAAAGCAGGACTTATCCATGCTCTCTCAGCAGAAAGCTTGTTTGCAATTCTGGCTGAAAAACACCATGGCTGTTCTGTCAACGATCCAGTTTGTTATGCTCATACGGTAGTTCTAGAGAGGAAGGTTGTTTGACTTGGAAACCTTAAGCTTTCATTTTGACCTTTTTGCCAATACAATTCTTCTATTGGCAACTTTTTGGCCACATCCTTCCATTTTCATTGCAGGCCATAGTTTTTTGTTTTTCTTTACCAAAAATGGTGGATCACTTGCTCTTGGTTGGTTTTGACCAGCCTGAAGTAGAACAGGGTCAGTATCCTGCTGTGACACAAATAACTTTAGGACAGAGTAGGAGATGATTAAACAGACCAGGGCTTCATCTGCAGCAATGTTGGTGCTGCTTTGATCTGTTGTATTGAATAAGGAAATGAACCAGAAAGTGACACTGTTACTGTTAACGGATCTAAACATAATGCATTGAAGGTGATTTTGTGGATCATCATCAAAACTTCTTGAAGTTGGTCTGATGCTGCTGCATTCAGGTACTTTAATTGTGTTTGTATACTGAGATCAATGAGGTAAAATACAGTTTTCTGTTAGAACACGTCTGGGGACATTAGTTTTCTTTGAAGTCTACAACTTATTTTAGTTTAGTTTTTTTTTTCATATCAGTGAATAAAAAACTATTATTGAGCGGGTTTGTGATGGAAACAATCCAATACTTGTTCATATACTGTAAGAAAATGGTAGGTTCCAAACTTTAGAGACTGAAATGGACTTGGATAAAGAGAGTTAGGAGCTCCAATATCCCAGGAAACTCAAAACACCTTTGTTCTTATTTATTAAAAGGAGTATATCCTCCTAGTCACCAACTGGAACACAGTGCTATGCCTCATGGCTATTGTCATTATTATTTTTCTTCCCATAGGGTGCAGAATGCTAAAGCTTCCAGCTTTTTTATATATATATATATATATATATATATATATACCTCACATACCTACTGAAAAACACTTGTATCCTCTGATGGCATTCCTTTTTTGTGTTGGCAAAATATCAACAATGAACTCATAATTTTTTTTGGTCACTGTTTATCGCTCATTTCAAAGGTGCATTACCACATGTAAGCCACATGCAAGCACTTCATGAAGCTGCCAACCTCCTTTACTGCAGCACATCAGTTTTGGCAATGGAATAAGAGAAGGCTGCTGAAAGTGCCTCAGGCTACTTCTCATAGATAAATTCTCGCTGTACAGCCAGGTTGTTTGTTCCTTCACTGATGTCATCTGGGCTGCTGAAAACAAACTCCCCATTTTAAGAGTATATTTTGGCTGCAAATTACCTTCCTTTTTCTTTTTTTCTTTTTGTCACTACATCCCCATGTCAGAAGTTTCTATAATTGAGGATGCAACTTGACCATTGGTGACTGTATGAAAGAAACGATCTGAACATATCATGGTAACATGCCACAACATTTATCCCTTTCATATCTCCATCCGTTCAAACCTTTGGGTGTTTCGTGAGCGTATTACAAACACACGGGTGACAACAATTTATAAAGGTTGACACTAAAGACACAACCATCCATCCTCACTGTTTAGAGTTGGAGCTAGATATAAGTCCACAGGAGTGCATATATAATGGGAGTGTTTGTGTGCAGATGCTGTTTGGAAAACTTACTACAATGTCTCACCAGCGATATCCTTAGTTCTGCAGCTTTGTGATACAGACAAGGCTATCCTTCATTACTCTCCCCTTCACCAACCTGGCTCTAAAGATAAGAGAGGAACACCACCTGTCCTTTGTTTCTATCTCTGTTACATACCCAAAAAAAGCTCCTGTTGCAAGGAGAGAAAATTCAAACACCTGGAGATAATTTCACCTCTGTTTGCCAGCTGATATCTGATCCAGGTTTTGCTTTGTTTTTCCTATCAGTTGATAGTGTTGTTCATGTTTACTTTTTAGTTTTTTGGTTGTTGTTGGTTTTTAAGTTTAATCAGTTGTATCAATCGATCAGCAGCTGTTTTCTTGCAATATTGGACACTAAGATCCATTCATTAGGCAGTTCCAATCAAAGCTGTTTTATGCTGAAGTTTGCAAACAGTTTGATGTGGTAGATTTTATTTCCCTTTAGTATTTTTGTTTAGGTAGTCAAACGCTTGGATACACATCTGCCATTCAATAGGTCTTCTTAATTATAACTCTTTACATTGTAGATGCAGCGATAAAATGGCAAAACTTAAGAGTATACCTTATTTTACCGGAAACTAAAATTGTGATATAATCCAAGACATATTTTATAGTTTAGATTTCCCTTTTTTTGATTGCTGGTCTGCACACTCCTGGTATTCTCTAGTTGAGCTTCAATGAGTACTGCCTTAAAGGGGCCATAGAATGCAAAACCGAGTTTAGATTGCCATAGATGAATAACGATAGCTCAGTGGGTTAAATGGACGTACAGAGAAGTTCAAAACCCATCGACACCTCCTTTCTCTGCAAATTTCCCAATTCTAAACTTCCACCATAAAACGGGCAAATTCAAATGAGGCCCAGAATTGACGTAAACTCTGGGATGTTATTTTAGTTCTGGCCTGTACTTTTGTCACGACCCGAAATTGACATAAAGATCACCTCACTGGTTTATTGGCCCAAGGGAGGGGGGTTGATATAAAGTGTCGATTGCTGGGCCGCTGACGGGACCAGACCTCTGCAGAGAACCATGAGCCGCCCATCCTCAGCTAGAGGAGGAGGGCTGGGGGCTGGTAAGGAAGGTGGGGGCAAGCACGGGGCCAGCTCACTGGGTCGGGTTTGGTCGCTCCGTCCCCGCTGGCTCCCTGCCTCCGTCCACTGGCGATTCCCGGAGCTGAATGCTTGGTTCGAATGCCCGGTGTGTTTCACCTACGTGCTGCACTGTAGTCGACCAAAATCCAGGAGGATTTCGAAATTCCCCCCGGAAATTTTTTTTTTGGTATGAAAGGTAGGACATGTCTGGGGAAAAAAAGGACATCTAGTCACCCAACCATATCGACAATTTCTATGTTTCAGTGATTGAGTGCTTGTTGCTATGATGCATCTTTGCTAGCAGCTTTGATCGTTGTAAACCAACCAATCAGCGCACAGCTCATCTAAATATTCATGAACATACCATAAAAGGAAGAAAACCTGTCGTTTCATTCTAGGGCTTTTAACCAGGCTTGCATTGGGGCGCATAGAATGGCAAATATGCCATTTTCAGCCCAACCAATGTTACACACCCTATTCAGAGACCTTAAGTACCAGCATGAAATACCCTATATAATCATTCTATGACCCCTTCAAATAGTTTCCCCACAGTTCTTGAGGTGGTTTCCCAGATAATAAAAAAGTTTTGACCGTTAGACTATGAAAAAGTATTGTGTAAATGTATTTGCCTCAGCTTGCTCTAATTCCTTTAAAAAAGGGATGTTCTTATTTTGTTGCGATCAAAAAAGATTCTCCTTTGAAGATTTCAGTCAATATATAAAGTAGCTTTTCTGGAAACAGAAATGTCTGCGTGTTAAAGCAACAAAAAAAAACTTCCTTTTATTAACTCTGAAGCCAGGAAGGACTAAAGTGGTGCACTTCCAGGACTCAATTCTCCCTCAAAATAACATTAGACTTTTGAGCTGTAAGCAGTTTTCTAGCATCAGATTTTTAAAGACGAGCAAATTCTATAATGAAGATTGACAAATGTACTGTGAAGGATTCAAACACAATAACCATTTTTTCTGTAGTTTAAAAGTTATCCCCGGGTCCAATATTCCCTTTTCTTTCTTTATTTCTTCTGTTTATTTTTACAGCTTACTTTATCTCTAAATGTAATCTCAGGGGAATTTTAATGATCCTTCATGGCTCATGCTTTTTTATGTGGAATCAAATGTGGAACAATATTTCCAGTTTATTTAAATGCAAAACAAACCTATAGTCACAGTCCATTTTACATTTAATCCAATTTAATCCAAATTATTATGTATAACCATTCAGTTATCCCATTATTTATTGCTGAATGGTTACCTTGGTTCTGAGAAAGCAAACAATAGACACAATAGATAGAAATTACTCCTGAGCCTGGTTCTACTGGAAGATTCATTCTATGAATTAAGTATGAGTGGCCATCTTTTGAGAAAAACTGGGATTGAAATTACACTTAATTAAATAAATGTTTAATACCTGCTTTATTTGAAAAGATACCTACCATTAATCTCACAAAGAAGCCTTATAGGAATGCATTTAATTGTTGAAAAATAAAAATAAATTTTTAAGAAAGGGTGTTTAAAATCTGCAATATTTTTTTTCTGTTTTTCAGATGTTATCCTTGGGCAAAATTTCCCAGACAATGTTTACAAAACTAAAAGATGGTTTCAAGCATTTGCACGACACTTTAAAAAGGTATGTTTTTATTTTTTCTGACTCCATATATTTGGATGAACTGTTGATTTGATTACCTTTATGAGAGTTTGTCATGAGTCATGTTGCTTTTATAATGGGATTCATAATTCTAACAACATAACTACAAACTATACCTGAGGGATGTTTTAAGATGGCATCTCTAGGTCAATGAATATTTTGCTATTCTGACTTCGTCTGATCAGAGTTTTTAAATATTCCAAGTTAATTGATGTATGAAAAGTTGAATTACATATTTTAAGCAAGGGGAAAAAAATCCAAACCCAGACCCTTTTTTTTGTTTTGTTGGGTTGGCACTGTGTTAAGCTGTGTTGTACCAAATTACTTTTAATTATTCTAAAAATATAAAGGAATAATTTGCTATGTCGAGATTATTCTTCAGGCAAGGCAATTTTATTTTTATAGTGCAATTCAGTACATGGACAATTAAAAGTGCCTTACATGAATTGATAATAAAATAGAAGAAAAATAAAACATTTGTAGAGCAAATAAAACAATTGTACTACAAAAAAGCAGAATAAAAAACCAAGGAAAAAACTAAAGGTTTACCTATTATTCTGCAGTTGAATTTTAGGTTTAATTATGGAATCTGCCTTAATAAAACATTACTATTCCTAATATTATCCTATAAAGTATATATTCATATTACATTTAGTTATACTGTTTTAGTATAACCAAACAATTTAAATACCAATATTTTTTTCTATAGGAAAATAAATGACTACTGCAGGAGAAATGCTGGCTTGTCCTCAGTTTTCTTCATAAAAGAAGAAAGGAACAGAATTAAAAGACTGTACGAGTGCAACACATTTATTTCATTGTCATATTCTGCAGTGCGCACAGTTCTGAGATGCATGTACTGGAAGAGGCACAGAGGTGTCGGGCTGAGCTGGAGCGGATCCAGGTTAAGGTACAGAGTCTGGAGGAGCAGCAGAGCCCCTCTGAGGAGCCTGATGGTGAGGTCAGCAAACTAAGGCGACAGCTCCTGCAGGCGTACAACGAACTAAAAGCTGCTGAGGAGAGGGGGCACACAGCACAGCACGACCTGCAGTGGTGAGATGGATGCATGCCTGCCTTTACACACATGTGCAGCAATATTCATATCAAATACATGCAGGTAAAAGGAAACTTAGAAACACAAACATGAAACAGCAAAGAACACAAGGGATAGGAGTGAGTAAGAACAGAAGACAGAAGTGAAACTGGAGTGCTGAAGGAGGAACTGATGTGGTAAGAAAGCTTGCGTGCGCACTAAGACTCACACTAATGTACACGACTGTAACTAGGGACAAACACTGAGGTTAACTCCATGAGGCAGCATCTTTTTAGTGACTTTAGATTGAGGTGAAGGTGAAAGAGATTAATGTACACATACTGATATATCCATAGAAATACTAACATCATTTTTGATTTACCTAAACAAAAAAAAAATAAAGTATATTGCTTTATTACTTGCCTTCATAGACGATTTTGTGTCTTCTTTTTCTTCCCTAACTTTCTTTTGTTCTTACTCTCTAGAGCCCCTTTCATGATCTCAACCAATAACCCTCTTATTTTTGCTGCAGGATTCTTGTCTTCCTCCCTAAGCTTATTGCTCCACTTGTCCAAAAGGTCAAACACACCCACAGTTATGGAAAAGAACCACTTACTTTAGTATCTACATACACAAACCTCACATTGTCAAGTGTCAACGGGAGGTTAGCGGAAAATTACTAGGCAACATGATAACATACCCTTTCCAGAATATTTTGCCAAATATCTTGGCTTCTGACTCTTAAACAGTGAAACATGTACTTGTGATCTGACGTTAGAGGCCGTAAAATAGATGTTGTGCAACTGTTTAGAGTGAAGTGGAATGAAAATCCGTTGCCTTTCCATGTTTTGTCACAAGAAGAAAACAACTTGAATCTAATTTATGGGGAATTTATATAATAAACCAATACAAAATAAGTTTTAAAGTGTGTCTGTGGGGTGACGTACTTAGCTTAATTTTAGGATCTAAAGAGTTTTGCATGCATTTATTCAAAGTTGATATGATGCTTTACCCTCTAAGCTCTATGAATGTATTGTTAAAAAGAGTAATTAGATTTAATTTAATTTATTTTTTCCAAGATATGTGAGAAAACATCCTGCTTGGACCAATACATAAATGCCAACTTTTACTGGACCATTCTATGAATGCTTAATGTCTAATTTTAGCCTCTAACACCTTTTCTCCTCCCATCATGCATTGTAATCTTCCTTGTTTCTACAAAACAGATTATTACTGGAGCATGATTATGCCAGCACCATGTTTTATAGTGGTGATTCTGTACCTTAATGATTTTCAATTTCCTGCCAAGAAGTGAGATCAAACCTAATGACTGTTTATTATTAAGTGATCTTTAAAGGCAATTAGCTGCACATCATTTAATTTAGGCTAACGACAAACACGGGTTTCACTTTGTAGGTTTTTGCTTGTGGAATACTTGGAAGACCTTTTTTTCAGTTTGTTCACAATACTATCTCCTTTGTGGTGGCCTGTCACAAAATAATAAAATACGATGATAATGCTTTTTAATTGTAAATTGTAATTGTTAATGGATTTATATTGCATTAGAAAAATCAGCAATGAATAGCGATACTTAAAACATGCATAGAATCACCATATAAATGGAAATCTATAGAAATTTGTTTTTAAGAGATTTAAAAACATCCATTAAAGAGGTCTGTTTAGTAGCAGAGCATTCCACAAGAGATGCCCGGAACCATAAAAGTTCTATCAGCCTCTGTCTTTAATCTTGTTCTGGGCACAGAGAATAAAACCTGGTCACAGAAAAATGTTGAACTATGTGATTCTATCATGAAAGAGTTCAGGAAAAGATTTATTTTTAAAGCAACTGTAAGACTGATTATCATATTGATGATTTTCTTTCTTTTGCTGGTTAGCAACCAGTCAGCAGGGTGTTATTATTATTATTTTTATGAAACCAATTTGGGTTTGCTGAAACTGTGGAAAGAAAACAAAATTAGAAGGATGAAATAGCAGTTTAAATTGCTCTAATAAACCTTGATATGTTTGTCATTCATATTTACAATTTCCTCCTTCCATCTACATCATTAAACCATTTAATGAGTGTGTGTTTATTGTATGGGAACAATGTCACTAGGAGACAGTGGTTTTTTTTAGTGCAGACTCTGGTATGAAGAAGTAATTTAAATATTAAATAAAAATACTTGCAGGGCATTGTCTATAGATGCGGTAATATCTGCATGGGATATACAGAGTGCATGTTAGTTATTACTACTTTTTTTTTCTACTAGTGAGCTCTCTTGTGTTCTCACTATCTCTTTCTCCCCCGTTTCCAGCTCAAGCTCTTCTATCTTCCTTCTTCTCTGGTTTGTTTTCCTCTTTCGCCTCTTTTCCACACTATCAGTCCACACATGACAACCAGACACTCGACATAAAAATACCCCTTTAAAAATAAATAAAAGTTTATCTGTATCCATACAGACCCACAGGAATTCAGCACTACTCCACCAACCCCCCATTGCAGCATTCTTCCAGTTCTCTCTATATCAGTTAATATCCAATATTTTAGCTTGTCAGGAAGATTATTATCATTTGCCTTGTGAAATGTGCAGCTGTACAGTATGTGCTGTTGTAAGGTTTTTCATAATGACAAAGCTGACTTGAAATTATTTCATACAAACTTTAATGGACTGCTCAAAAAGCATCTGCCTCAGGGAGATGAAAAATTCATAGAAATCATCCTCTTATAGGCACATTCATACTCTGAAACCAAGAAGTGTGTGTGTGTTTTTTTTTTTTTTTTTTTTTTAAGATCGAGATTGTTCCGTTTACAACCATCTGTATGCTATATGTGTCTTTACAAAGAAAAGAAGGTTTTTATACTTTACTGGTAATCAACTTTTTTATTAGCCTGGTTTGGAGGCCGTATTTACAAGAAAATGCACATTAGTCAAATTCTTAAAAAACGTGACTCCAACTTTGTCGTAGTGCATTCCTCTTTCTGTGGAATCAGGAACTGAAACATGCCTTTTCTCTCTCCCGACTGAACCCCCACCCATCACCCCTACCCTACCCCACCTTATCTTACTAATATGCACCGCCATGCAGTCTCTGGGAGGAGAAGCAGTACTTGGAGAAAGAAATTCAAACTCAACCTGCTGTAAGTTCATCATTGCACCATCTGGAATTAGGTTCAGAGGCACGGATTACTACTGTAACAGCAATTTTAACACAGTTGGAGGATTAAAGTAACATGTATATTTATCCTGAGACTAATCCCCATATATATATATATATTTTTTTGTTTAATTTAAAGTAACATGAAAATATGTGAATCCATAATATATTATACTGCTTTAACCCAAAAGCAGTGAAGTTTGCAAAGCTTAGAATTTGTTCTCTGCGATTTTGGTACCCTTGGTTAAAGATGTGTTTAGGCGCTTGAAAAATATACCCGTTTAATAGCAGCAGCATAAATCCAAGCCTTTATTTAAGCTCATACATTAATTGAGGATCCATGACTTCCTGTAGCCTCTGTTTTAATTCAAAGAAACTACTTTTATTTACGGGAACATCAAAACCAGGCTTTTAGCTAAGAATAGTTTATAGGGTGTACACCTTGGTGTATCACATCTTTAGGCTTTGTGTTGCATGGGGGGGGGGGTCTAAATTTGGAAATTTAGACTCTGAAACGCCATTTTCCACATTTTGAAGTGGAATGCAGAAAACCTTTTGCCTTTGTTGCAATTACACTTTTGTCCTGATTATGGGAAGCATGTGTGCATTACTAGAGACAGAAACTAAATAATTTTTAAGTAAAATATTATGTTTTATAGGTTCATTCGGACAATCATGAAGTGTAATGCTACATTCACACTGCGATATGAGCAACAAAAAACACATTCAATAAAGTGTGTACAAATGCGTCTTTTGCTTCTGCTGCTCCTGTGTTCAATGGAAGAGAGCGGCTTTGCTATATATTGCTTTGATAAGTGGGTGGAAAGTAGTTGTAATATATTTTTATGCGAGAAAACCTAAAACATGGTCTGTGCAGTCAGTTCATCGAGATTACGATCCTGTCTTAAAATATTATTTTTCTGTCGGAGCCGCACAGACCCTCCCATACCCAAGGTGTTCTATCACCGGGAATCCCCTGCAGCAGCTAACAGAACAATAAGAGAGAACATATTTTTCTGTCAGATTTAGATATTTTCATTTCATTTCAGCAGTACGGTTTCTTTCTCTCTGCCAGCTCACAGATCAGTTTCTGATTGGTTGATGTGACACGTTGAGCAGCAAAATGTACAATTTTCCTACTCGAACATCTGCTCGTAAGATTTTGAACAATTGAGCGTAATTTCCCGGGGAAACACAGGGTGTACAATTTGTTATACGCATCACTAGCTAAAGGCCTGAGCAACAACATATTGAGCAAGTAAGATGTATAGGCATAAGACCGGGAGTGATTAAATTATTTTTTTCCCCCTGAACTTTAGACTTTATAAAATCTATGTAAGAGTTAAAAAAAGTCAACAGTAAATTATATTTACCCTTTAAAACAACTAAAGCTCTTACAGAAACTAGAAAATATGTTACTTTTTTTTTTCCTCCAAACATTTATTTAAAAAGCCTTCTATTGGAGAAATGCAGCCAAGAGAGGCAATCTTAGGATCCCAAAGTCTCCTATACAACTATAGACCCCATCTAAATGCCAATCAGGCATAAAGTATGCCAAAGAAGTATTTCTATTGTTCTACCATCATAAATGTAAACCTGTGGAATTTGCAGACTATTTCTACTCATTTTAACTAAAACAAGGTACTGTAGTCATGGAGAACTACAGTAATACCAAGTTTTTGAGCAACAAAGGCAAGTCTGACATAAAAAAATTATGAATAAGTTTGGGGAGCAGTTCAGGCCTACTGTCACCCATAAAGACTTATCTATAATACTGTAGGCCAGTTTATATGCCTTTGGAATCACATTTTGATTACAAACCCGGCGTCTGCCAGCATCTTAATGCAAAGCATATGAATAGATCAAACCAATGCATGGTTCACCAGACACAACAAAAAACTATTTCCAAGGTTATCTCAGTCCCAAGACCAAAATACAACAAATAAACATGTGAAATGAGCTGAAGGGAGTTTCAAAACTCTAGACTATCTCATTCTATAGTATATGATCAAATTCTGTGAGGTCATTAAAATTAATTTCACCAAATATGTTATAGTTAACATGAGATTTCTTCTAACTGAATAATACTTAAAGGTTTTATGTTGTTTGTTTTTTTGTTTTTTGTTTTTACTCTCAATAACAGATTTCAACAGATCTCAAGACTTTAATTAAATCTTTACCAGAGGTGGCAGTTACTATGCAGGGTGCAGTAAATATCCATTTTATGCAATTACTGTTATGTTTAATTAAGAGAAAAACATTAAGTCATTGGCTCCTACTGCTCTTTAGTGTATTCTAAAGCTGTGCTTTGTGTACAGAACTCTAATGCCACAGGGCATTTTAAATCTTTTTAATTTAGTCTTTTTTAGTCACAATATTGTGCAACTTTACTGAATGTAGTAAAGTGACACTATATTATTTTAGGGATCGATAATAAAAACATGAATTTTGCTGAATAGAATATGACAAGTATTGCCTGAATGAACCAAAGGCCCTTTAGTGACTCTCGGAATTATTGCACCAGAATATATTTTGCCGCTTTTGCTTTTAAAGAGCGGAGTTTGAGCTTTGAATAACTTAAACCAGCTGCTGGCCATATCTTTTTAGAGATATATTGCTGCAACTTTTTACTGATTATGTAATTTCAGATGCTTCCAAATGTGCTTCTCTGGCTGGTTGCAATTCCACTCATGGCTAATTTTTGATCGCAGCTTTTGAGCCAAAAATGGCCATAAGATAAATATCCTTCTTCCATAAAAATTTAATTACATATTCACCTTATTTCTGTTGCGTCTGATGCATTGCCTGAATTCTGTGCAGAATATCCTGAATAACATTTTCACATGTCAAGTGATTGTCTTTCAGAGAATTGTCTTTCATCTTATTAAGACTCAAAGGATGATCTGATGAAATGGACTTATAATATTTGCATATTTATCTGCCGTGCCAACTTCTTTGTTATGGGCAGAGATGCTATTAAATGAAGTACTTGCACTGTTTAAATGCATATTTCATAGCAGCAACTCCAGGAATACATTGGTTACACCATTAACTACTATTTACATTTTGCTGAAGGAGAAAATGTATCCCTGTGTAGAGATTAAGAATTAATTATATAAGACAATATAGGCTAAATTCCTTCAGTTGAACTATGAATAATGCTTCGGGTTTCAAACATTAAACCTAAAGTCTATATGGATAAATAATGATAACTCCTCTGAGAATTTTGAGGTCTGTTGAAAATGCTCAATAATGATATTTATTCCTATTGTAATTTTTTTGGCTTATCCTTCAGGACATGGAGAGCAACACAAACCTGTTGAAGGGCAAACTTGATGTTTTGAAGAATGAAGTGGCTCAGAGACCACAAGATGTAAGGTAATAAATCTTTCATGAGGGCAGAACTTGAGTGGTGGAGCTCCATGACTGGGGCTGTATCCTGATGTCTGCCCTAATCATCCATATAAGGCACTATAAAGTGGTTACGCCATTTTAAATCGGTGTCCAAATGTCTAGTGGATGCAAAAGTAGTGGACTCGAATTTTCATATAATCCACCTTGAAAAGTAGTGATTATCGATGGTCACTAGATGAGCAGATATATCCTGGAATGCTTTGTGAGAAGAGCTCTCCTCGCAAAGCTTTATGGGATTTCTTGTCACAGCCTGACACCCTTCCAGAGAGGCGGAGTCACATGACCAAGATGGAGCGAATAGTAGTGATCATATGTCCAAAAGGTGACTTAATTAAGTCCACTATAAAGTGTTCTATATAGTTCCCACTCTATAGAGATTGAGGGATCTAGGGGTTAGGGCAGACATTCTGACACAGCCTCTGTTTTATTCCACTGCAGGAAACTCTAAACAGAAATGTTCTGTTTATGGCTCTAAATATAATCATCATCTCATATCTTTTTCATTGTTTTGGGATTCTGAATAACGTTGTATAAGATGCCCAAAACTTGGAATATTGTTTATTAATCTGAAACACATGTCATAATGTTTAAAACTTGAGGCTTTGTTTTTGTAAATCTAATTTGATGGTTTGATCCCTTTTACCATTGAGTTTGTTATTGCTGACTTTAGTTTTGCTTTTGTTTCTGAGCTTTTTTTCTGCTTTGTGAATGTTCTGTTTTTTGTCCTGCGTGTTCATTTATGTACACCCATTCGCCCTTTTGAGACTCCCCTCTAAGCTTCTGTTAACTTGCGACCTGCTAACAGAATGCATTCCTCTGTTCTGTTAATCTCCCTAATTTGACCTATCTTGGCGACTTCTGTTCTGTTTAATTATTTCCATCTTCACATCGTTTGCCTTGAACAAGCTTCTATTTTTTATTCTTTATCAAAACTTTTTTTTTTTTACATCTGTTCTTCTCCTTCCCATCTGTGATTAATTTCACTGAAAACAGCATGAAGTTTTTTCATAGTAAACCTTCCATCTTTATTCCTGATTGAACCTCTTTGGTTCCTTCATGAAAGTGTTACTTCTCCTTTGTTCTTTGAAAAATCTCTAAAGTCTTTGCTGAGCAGTTGTATTTTTTTTTTGTTGAGTTAATTTACATTAATGAAGAAGGTGACTCCTGCAGTCACCAGACTGAATTCAGTTCATTTATATAGCGCCAACATCACATCACATGTCATCTTGAGGCACTTTACAAAGACAATAAGCTGGTTTCTGATATTAAATCCCATTAGAATTCATCAAAGTAAAAGCGACAAAATAAAAATGAAAATATATTAAAAGGTAAATACTTTGATAAAGATGAGCGTATGTCAAGTGTCCTGAGATAAAATAGAAGCCAGGAACAGGTTAACCCTGCTGCAATAGGCTTCAAAACGTCAATGAACTAAATGTCTTATGGCTTATAAAATCAAGTTTGACATGTCCACTTTGTGATTTTTAAATTGTACCTCCTTGTGTCCTTTCTTGGATCCTCTACCAGATTCTTTCTAGTTTCTAAGCGGGTAAGAAATAAAAAATAAGACAAACACATATGGTAATATATCCATCTGCATTTATTTAATTAACAGAAAACTGATTGAGGATTTGGAAACACTTGAAACGCTGCTATTAAAAGAACAAAAGGAGTTGGAGGAAAATAAGATGATCATCAAAATCAAAGAGGTTTGTTTGTGTGTGAGTGACTGGGCTCAGTTGGTGGCCTTAACACCATGAATAGAATACATACATAACATCTGTCCTCTTATGCCTTTGATCGCCTTTCTCTATATTGTTGTTTCAAGGCTGAGAAAGCGCAGCTTGCCTGCATACCTAACCAGATAATGAGGGACATTGAAAGAAAACGCTCTGTATGGAAGTAAGTGATTTCAACCCTTTGTCAATTTTTACTTGATGGGTTAGACAGAAAAAAATGTCTATATTCAGAACTGCTGTACATTTCCTTTAGCAAGCTTTCCCTCCATCCACTGGGATCTTATTACAGTTTTGCATATGAGGATTGTTTTCTTTCATGTTGCACATGGTCAAACTTTCATTGATGTACAGAAACAATCCCCAAAATCAAAACATTTTCATTTCTTATCCAGTAGTTTGTAGAAATAGTTATATTTTAAGCATTTTTTAAGCTGGTGTGGATGCTGAGATGCTTCTAAGATTTATACAGCTCATCTATGCATATTGAAAATTGCTGTTATTGTTGCATGGAAAGAGCTGCTAATAGATCCTACCCAATTAATATCTCATAAATGACCCTAGATTCTGCTACAAGTCAACAACACGGATGTGAGGCAGGGGTAGACCAAAGGGCTCGGAAAAGAAAGAGTTAAATGTTTTGCTCTCTGAGTTGTCGAGGGGAAAGGAAGATTGCTGGCGAAGAAAATGGACAAGGTTGGAGCACACGGAACAGCAAAATCAGCGAAGCAGCATGATGTGTTTTATGAAGACGTAGCTTCAAAAAGATATTACAAAACTGCGCTCATCTATGTAATAGATAAAATGGCAAAATACATATGAATAAATCACCTTTCTAGAGTCGAAGCCCTTATAGGTCCTGCGATGGGCTTTAAAATTGATATATTTTTACATCAGAAGAGCTCATTTGCCCCGTAATGTCAAATAGAACTGAAGAAAGTAAATATTACATGTATGTACTTCTTGAAATAAGGGAAAGTTGGTGGTAAGAATCCTCATTGATAAGTGTGATGGAGGATCTCTGATGCTGTGGGCTTGTTTTCCTTCCAAAGGCCATGCTTCTTATTAGAATCCATTGTTCATCACAGATAAAATCAACCTTCTTTTATGGTCATCTGAGCCCAAACCTTAAAACCAAAACCTTGACATTAGAATAGCTTATTTATATGCTTCCTTAAAGGAGAACATTTTGCTAAAATTTAATATATATTTTTCAGTTACAAATCTTCTTTCAGAATCAAGGTAAAATACCCTCACTAAGCTGGTATCACACAATTCCTTTTTGCTTCAGTTCCTCCTGGCATAAATTCAACAGATTTTGGTTCACCTTCACATAATCACATCACACAATTGTTTTCTAGTTTTGATGAAACCCTCCAGTTTTCAACCCATCCCAGAAGTGCTCCATCTGCTTAGGATGACGTTTTTCCCAATCTGTTGTCCAAATGTAGCCTCGGTTTCCTGTTTTTAGTTAAAAGGAGTGGCATCCTCTGGTACAGCAGCTCATCTACTCTTGTGTTTAACAGGGTTGCCTTTCTGTCATCTAGAATCAATTTCTTCTAATATACTAATGAATTTCTAGTAGTGGTCGGCACAAATTTTTTTTCTTTCTTTTATCTAGATTAATCTCACTGTAATCTTGGAATTAATCTAGATTAAAATGGCTCATTTGAATTCTGCCAAAGGCATTCATGATATTTGACATATGTATATCGGTTGCACTCAAATATTGTAGTTTGATGAACACGAATCTTCCTCTGCGCTACATCAGTGCTTGGCCCAGCATCTTCCGCAGTGGCTAAGGGATGCTTGCATTTAGGTGGTACTTGAGACTGCAAGAACTCCTGCAACTCCTGCAGTAAACTAATTCTGTTTTGCACAGCTTTTATCTTGTCGAAGTTTCAATCGGGTAGCTTCTTTAAAAAGAAAAACTCCATGAGGCAAACCCAGTGGCTTTATAGCTGCATCTATGTTCGATGTGGTTTTTTCACAGTAGGTCTACACAGGTTGGAAGACTGAGTCATTGTAGCGTCCAGATAAACATCCACGCTAAAATATTAAGGTGAAAGTCATCATAGCTTACTTAGTATAGACCCAGCTCCCAACCCAACTTTAAGAATAGTTTAGTGGCAATATTTTTTATCGCCCAATAAGCCAATAACTGCCCATCACTGATTTCTATACATTCAGCTGCTATTTTCTCCTTTTTTCCCCAGTTTATGTGACTCCAAGGGATTTTTGTTTTTGAAAATCATAGTAGATCCGCTTTTCTTGAATTTCTCAAACTAACCAGTGTAGTAATAAACAACCATGCCATGTTATAAGCCACTTGAATCCCCTTTTCATGCTGTTTGGTGTGTTGCTTTCCCTGCAATTGTCTGAGTTCTAATTTTAGTAACGCGTTGAGATGCATTTGCTTAAGTTTTTCAAATTTTTTAATGGTCTTTTCAACCAAGTTTTTAAACTGCAGCAAACTTTATCATTGAAACATGTTTTTCATTTAGTGTAAACTAAACTATCCACATGAACTTCAACAGAGGGAACCAAGAAAAGCACTTTTGACACAACATAGAAAATGTATATTATGCAGCTACAGTGTATTAGAAACAAGTCTGTTCCCCATATGCTTCAAGTCTTTGGATTTTTTTTTTTTTTACCAGTGTTACACCCCTCTGTTATTCCAGTCTAACTGGATCATTTCCTCTTTTTTTTTTTCCTCTGAACTTCCTCTGACAGTGTTCCAGGGTCTCATTTTAAAAGGTTTACTGCTTCAAATACGTATTTTTTGCTTTCCAGAATGTTTCACATAAACGCTGAACTAAAAGATGCTTGTTATTTAGCTGTTGTCACAATCCAAAGCAAAAAGTCACTCAGAACTGGTGCCACCGGGCTGAAATCAACCATATGTCTCAAGCATTAATCATTTATTTTACTGATTCTATATTTATATTTTGATTTTCGAGCAAGGCTGGGGAACTAACCATGAAAAATGGCTTAAAATTTAAAACTTAAAACCTAAAAGATTCCTGTACTATTATTGTTATTTTTTAGATGCTGTTCATTTTAACAGCATCTTCACATGTTCAACTATCTTTTTTGTCATGTCTCTAAATAAACCCTAGAGTTGCAATGAAGAGGATGGAGTCCCTGAATATGGAGCTTTCAGAAACTAAGCATCAGATGAGGAGTGTGAGTGAGGGTAATCAGTCCCTGGAGATGAGGAGACAGGAGGCAATGCAGGAGCTGGAGCAGCTCAGAGCCCAAATAGAGGCATGTCAAAAGGAAAACAGACGGCTACTGAAGGAGCAGGAGATCAGCAGGGAGGAATTCGCTGAAATCATGGGCAGCAGGTGGCATTTTTGTCTTTCAACTTATAAAAATATTTACTGGAATGAGATGCTTTATGGTTTTTTTTATGTAGTAGTGTTCATATAAGTGTGTGTGTGTGTTTTTTTCTTTTCCAGTGGTATTTTAGAAATGAAGTTGCTGAACCTAATGATTGACAGAAAGCAGATTTGCAACAGCCAATCTGTTCAGCTCAGAAAGAAACATAGGTACACTTCCTGTGTCCATCTAATTCTCACTTTTTGGTTTCCTTCTATGCATTTTCCCTCTGTTCATTTAAGTTACACAGCTCAAAGTCAACATGAAAGGATGTTACAGAGACTGTGGCTTTTCTCAAGTTAATAACATCACCATAAAACAAATGTGCACAGTGAATGCCTAGTTGGTAATAAGATTCACTTTAAAAAAAAAAAGGTATAACTTTACAAAACCTTGAAAAAATATTTCTACCTTCTTGTCACTTTGTGAAAATGAGTATCTGATCAGCCAAAAACCTTTATTCATTATCTTAGCATTTAGTGTGATGGACCCTCACAAAGTGGTGAATAAATGTGCACAGATGATCTGAGGTGTAATGCATTCATCAATAGTCCTGTAAACTGTGCATCCATCCGTTCGCTATAGGCACCTGCCCTTGGATTGCTGGCGGAAATGTTGCCCATCTCTAACAGTTACAGAACAACCATACACTGTCATTATTTCCTAAGGACTCCAGCAAAGTCGAAAAAATTGGAAAGTCCAAATGCAAGGAAACAGGGCCACCTCTTAAACTGATGTTCTGAAATAAATCTGGTGGAAACTTAAGTAGTCACTTCTCCTAGTTTTCACATTTAAAAGCCTTTAATGCTCTCAAAAAATGATTGTGCGCCTTATAATCCATTTATACAAGAAAAATGCTTACAAAGCAGACTTTAAACTTACCACTATCAGTTAAGCAGTAGATGCTAAGAGTGAATTGAGTGTTAATGGATTAATAGTACAGAAGTGGGAGACGTAAGATAATGACCTACACCATAGTCTGGTGTACCTTGTATATGAAAAGAGTTCAGAAACAAACCATTTATTGATAACACCTTATAATCCAGTGCTCCCTATAGTATGGAAAACAAGGTGTCCGGAGGGGGGGGATTAGCTGTGCAAAGGTCTCTTAGGGTTGTTAGATATAGGATATGAAAATAAAACACCGTTATGACTAGGGAACACAGCAGAATTGTCCAGAATAAAGAAATAAAGAAGATTAAAGCAAAGTTTGGATGATGATAAGCAATAAGCCCAGCTTTGAAAGTGTTACTGAATAATCTCAAGCTTTTTTTTTTTTTTTTTTGCATTGAGAAATAAAATAATAACAATGGTAAAAATTATCTAGGTTTACGGAGATTATCTTTACAAATCCCTAAATTGTGTAGCTGTTACTTCAGTAAAAGGTGGTTTTACAAAGGACGGTGTCTGAACTTAATTCTCTTCTACACTTCTCTTCAAATTCTCACTTTAAAATAAAATATTGACGTTTTTTTTTCTAGTATTGCTATACTAATTAGTGTATATCTTTACATAAGTAATCTGAAAAAAAAATTTTGATAAAAGAATATTTTTGGCAGAGTCTTTGGAAACTGAAACGATTATTTAATGAGTTACAGCGTCAATGTGCTGTGGCATAGAGGTGTCTGTGGCACTGTGTAGGTTTAATAAGCCTGCTGTCCTATATAGCTGCCTTCAGGTCATCTGCCTTCCTGGGTTTGATGTCTCTAATCGTGCTCCTGAAAACAGCCCATAGATTTTCTATTGGGTTCAGGTCAGGGAAGTTTGCTTTCTAGTCAAGAACAGGATCACTGTGGCGCTACCTTCAGCACTATGGACAGGTGCCAAGTCCTGTTTGAAAAATAAAATCGGCTGCTTCACACAGCCTTTCATCATAGACCAGCATAAAGTGCTGGAATTCCCCCATAAGATTGCTTCATTGACTGTGGACTTAGGAAACGCAGTGGAACAACGCCAGCAGATGACATGGCACCCCAAAGCATCACTGGCTGACATGGTTTTTGGTGGGAAAAAAGGACTAAAATGACAAAAGGACACCTGCAGATGCAGGATGGCTGTATATTTAAATGAAAACAAACTAAAAGCTTTGCATCATTGAATAACAGTCCTGACATTTTTCACTGAAGCTCGGATAAGATGCATCTGACATCAACTCTGGTTCAAGAGTGGCTTAACATGAGAAATGTGACGGTTGTATTCTCTAGTAGTCCTCTGTGACTTGTAAAGTTTCCCCCAAAACTTGAATCAATTTCACTTGATAATCCTTTAAAGGATTTAAATTTCTGTTATCTGTAAGCGATCATCAAAATTATAACAAACAAATGTTTGGAATGTATCACTCGTTACATAATGATTCTAGATTGTATCTATGACTTTAACTTTTGTTTTTATTTCTGACAGAAATCTATGAACAAAATCGACTAGTTACTTGACTTTTCTAAAAGAGTTCTTGTGGAAAAATGTAGAAAGTAGAGCCTGCAATAGATATAATAAATATTTCAAAGGTTCTGTTGTTTTTCCTTAGGCAGGTGGAAGCCCTGAGACGGATGGAGCAAGCAGTAGCCATGGCCACTGAGCAGCTTGAGTTCACACAATCTACCTACAAGCAGATTCAAGTGCAGTTGGTTTGTAATATTTTTCTTGCATAGTTTACAGATATGCATATTTATTCGTTTTACAAAATGCAGCCTTTGTGGAGGGATGGAAAGAAAGAAAACACTGCAAACTTGTAGAAAATTGTAAAACATCACCATGAACACACTGTCCTCACTATGAAACAGCAGCAGCAACATTACTCTATAGGAATCATTTTGTTTAAGGAAAGACAATGAGGTAGGTCAAAAATTATATGAAGACATGTAGATAAAAAAAAAACAGTCCTGATGAAAATAATCTTTTAATCGGCAAGACTTCAGAGGTTTGAGTTTAACTCTGCTGTGAACCTACAGCCAGAGCTGGTTAATGAAACGGCTTAAATTTAGGGTTATTAACCTTTATTACCTTAAAAGTGATTGGGTTTATTTTTAAGTTTACTACAGTTTCCTTATGGGACATTACATCTCAATAAAATGACAGAAAAGCAACATACTGACAAAAAGTTACTTTGTTAAAGAGTAACCTAATTTTTTCTTGAAAAATGAAAATTAGAAAACCTGAGAAGCTATTGCATAATTTTAGAACATATTGCAGGTAACTAAAATATTAATTTCTTCCAGTTTAGACACAAACTGTAACGCATTCTTCAGAGTGACATTTAGCCTTTTTAAATAAAAAAATTGCAAAGAAATGTAAGCCTAGTGGTGCACCTGTGTTTTGGGGCAGTTACAGAAGGCTTTAGTCATATCCAGTTATCAGAACATAAAAGGCATTTATTATCATCAGAGGACTTTTGAAATCCTGCATCTTCCCATCTTTTCACTGTTCTGCACAGATTTTTAGAGAGAATGCAGGAAGCCAGGGTGAGAACCAGACTCGATTGGATATGCATCAGCACATTTGGCATGCACAAACTAAAAGCAAAGGAAATTAAAACGGCACAATGGGGAATAAAAAGTTCTGCAAAACAAATATGCTGTACAGAATTATTTAGTAAGTTTTCCCATTACTGATTTTCACGTGAGCCATTTCTCATAATGACTAAGGCTTCACCACAGAAATGCACATTATTTTGTAATTAAGGAGTTTAATATTTCAAAAGTACTGTGTTTTATTATAAGGCTTTACCTTAATTAAGCTCTGACTGCAGCTGATGCAAACTTGTGGCATTAAATTGTCCTGTTTAAAATATTTGCATTTGATGCTATCCCATTCTTTCTGAAAGGATTAATCCATTAAAAGTGTGCTTTGCTACAGCTTATTACATTAAGATTAAGGTAACAGTATGCAAAGAATGATTAAATTTGTTATGAGAATGTCGACTGTATCATAAAGAGGCGTCTATCTCATCATGTAACTCATTGCAATCACAATCTCTTACAAGCTCTGCTGCTGAGATCCAGGACCAACTCTAAGCAGATGAAAGATGTTGTATCCAGATGAAAATTTAAACAGGCTTTTGATTTCCACTGCGCTCTGGTCTAAATATTCAGCTGGATGCTGTTCCCGAAAGAGAGGCCAGCGCTCGGCAAAGGAGGGAGCTTGAGAGGGAGATGGATGCTCTCAAAGCCAGCTTTGAAAAGCAGGTGGGGATGTGCTCTTATAACAGCAACAGCCTAAAGCAGTTTTATCTGTATCCAGGGTTCCTGCACAGTCTGGAAGAATTCGGAATTTCATTTAAGTATTTTTTTTACTTGACAAGTATAGAAAAACATCATTTTTTATGGTCTTCCTCCCTTCTATCCTTACACCCTCCTATTATTATTACTTTCTTGTTCCTTATGTCATTTCCAAGGTTACATCTCAAGTAAATTAGAAGACCATTAAAAACTCAATACTGTTTTCACTCATTTAATAAAGAAACTACTATCTCATAGATTCATCACACATAGAGTATAATGCGAATATTGAGAATATTACTTTTAATTTTGATGACTTATGATTTGAGATCATGGCTTACATATTATTAAAAACCCCAAACAATTATATGTCTAAGGGAATAAGAAAACCACATGAGATCAATAAAATAATTCATTTACAGCACCTTTATGCTTCTAAAATATATTCATTTCTGTGTACTCAACTGTTGATAAATGCTTCTTTTGCATGAGTTAGTGCATCAATGTAGCATGACGTGGAGGTGATCAGCAATGCTAATGCTTCATCTTCCTCTTAATAATCCATAGGTTATCTATGTGGTTCAGGTCTGACCAATGTAATGGCCAAACTAGAAAAAGTTGCATTTCCTGCGAAAATGCAGTGTGAATGCTGTACGCTAAACTGTAAGCTGTAAGGTTAAAATGGCAGAAAAAGGCTGAAATTTAAAGTCAAAGCTGCTGAAATGGTATGGAATGGCAAAAAAAAAGTCTAATTAGTTTCTTAAAAGTAGCTGAAGCCAACAGCAGAAACATGGCAGACATGTTATGAATTAACAGCAAGAAGAAAAGCTTAATGCTTAATGCTTAATGCCTTTCCAGAAAGAGAGCATATTGTATCCACTTCCTAATGTTAAATCAGTGTTGTCTCCCTCCATTAGATTAAAATGTGTTGTTTAAAGTGGTGGAGGTAAAATCTTTTTGAAGCACGGTTACCTTGACGACGCTTAACGAGCCTGTCAGTGACAGAGAGACATGCGCATCACTTTCGTTCCTTAGTTCTCAGGCTTTTTTGAATGGGATTATCAGCTCCGAACAAACAAGTGCTGAAGACAAACCGTAAAAGGTATCTAAAAAATTCTTTAATAGTCTAATAGAAACAAGCTGGTAGAGTTTGGGTCATAATGCTGAGCCATTTGCATCAATTAATACACAAGTATAATATAGAGGCTTTTATTTTGTAGGGTCACTGGAGTCTTATTTTGAAAGTCTAGCATGGTTGTGTGTTGAGTAAAGTGGTCAGACCCAGCAGTGATACTTGATGACTTTCCAATCATTAAATCACTCTTTTCCCCTGTTATTAGGGCAGTAGATGAAGTGGCAATGGGAGGCTTTTATTTTGAAATTTGCTGTGGGGTGTGTTTTGAAAACCCCCCTAGAGTCTAATTTTTAAAAAGTGGTTGAGTTTGGGTCATAATGTTGACCCATATGCTGGGAAAAAAATATGAGTTTAATGTAGGGGCTTTTATTTTGAAGGGTCCCCGGAGTCTTATTTTGAAAGTCTATCAGGGTTGCGTGTGAAGGGAAGGGTCATGGCCAGTAGTCATATTGTATCCACTTCCTAATGTTAAATCAGTGTTGTCTCCCTCCATTAGATTAAAATGTGCTGTTTAAAGTGGTGGAGGTAAAATCTCTTTGAAGCACGGTTACCTTGACGACGCTTAACGAGCCTGTCAGTGACAGAGAGACATGCGCATCACTTTCGTTCCTTAGTTCTCAGGCTTTTTTGAATGGGATTATCAGCTCCGAACAAACAAGTGCTGAAGACAAACCGTAAATGGTATCTAAAAAATTCTTTCAGTCTAAGCGAGAGCTATCCTTTGTCTCCGATTGGGGTAACTTTCATGGATGTAGCTCATTCACAACCTTAATGGGAAGGAGGAATAAAAAGGTTTGAGAAATCCTGCTGGTCTCATTGAATAACATGCAGCTTAATGGTAGAGCAGAACTCTCAAAAGCAAAACTTTCCCTCCGAACAAACGAGCGGTGAGCCAAAACCGTATTAGGTATTCAAAAAATTCTTTCACCGTGAGCGTCAGCCATCTTTGGACTACAACTGGTGTAACTTTCATATTTCTACAATATTTCGTCTAGGCGTGGTGACGATGTAAAAAAGTGTATAATTGTCAAAATCTTGATTTTGGGGTTCGGACAGATTTGTTACCCCCGAACAAACCTTTTTCCTAGCTAAACGATAAAAGATATCGACACACTTCCTTCAATGTGAGTGCTAGGAAGGTCTGAGGAACAACTTCCACAAGGCTCATGTTGCTACGTCGAACGGTTCCCGAATGGGAGCGATACGAAAAAGTCTGTTTTTTTGAATTTTCACTTCGGATTTTCAGAGAGCTCTCATTGGATTTCTATTGGAGAAGTGTGGACTTCTTCGTGGTCTGGGCCAAACTGTCGGAAAACCGTAAATGCCACACAAATGAGGGTTACATTTCCTGAATCCTGACAAAAATCCCTACGTTTTGATGTAAAATTTATCTAGATAGAGTAAAAAATGAGCGAGTGAGTTGAAGCTGTTCGGCATGAGTGAAATGTTTGAAAACGCTAGAGTGGCACACTCTAGCAGCTGAACATTCCGTCCATAGACTTCCATTATAAATTTGAAAATCTGTAAAAATTGTTTAAAAGTTTGAAGCTTCACTGAAGCAAAACTGTAAAAGTTAGCTGAAAGCCGAGTTAAACAGTAATAGCAGAAAGATACGGAAACATTTTAAAAGTTGAATGGTGTTTCTAGCTGAAAGTATGCAGAAGTAGTTAAAGAGCAAAATAGCAGAAGATTTAGCAGAATTTTAGCAAAATGCCATTCATTTCAATGAGGCAAAAATTTGCAGAAAAAGCAGAATAATTTAAAAAGCAAAAGAGGTAGAAATAAAGCAAGACATTCCCGAAATGTCCTAAATGAGCTGAATATTGTGAAATTTGAATGGTTGAAATAGCATAAAGTATGCAGAAGTAGTAGCGATACGAAGATTTGCACCTCGGAAGAATAATAATAACTAGAAAAAGTTGCATTTCCTGCGAAAATGCAGTGTGAATGCTGTACGCTAAACTGTAAGCTGTAAGGTTAAAATGGCAGAAACAAGCTGAAATTTAAGCTGCTGGAATGGTATGGAATAGCAAAAAATGTCTAATTAGTTTCTTAAAAGTAGCTGAAGCCAACAGCAGAAACATGGCAGACATGTTATCAATTAACAGCAAGCAGAAAAGCTTAATGCCTTTCCAGAAAGAGAGCAGAATCAAGCCAAAATTGGAAAAAATATGCAGAAATTTTATAAAATAGCAAAAACGGTAACATAAACAGTAAAAAAGTTGAATCTTAACTAGTTGAAGAAAAAAATTAGTAGCTTAAGGAAAGGAAGATAAATGTTGAATATGTATAATAAGTATTAAAGTCTGAAATCATATGTGGAAAAGTAAAGATTTGTAAAACAAAATTTAAATTAATTAAAATGTGTCAGTTGATCAGCATAGAGAAAACAGTGTCATCCTTAGAAGCTTGAAAATCCACAAACCAAAGTACAAGACTGACCATAAGAAGCACAGGAAGGACAAAGAGAGAAGCTTATAAAATGAGAGCTAATAAAATTTAAGGAGCTGAATTTATCAAAAAATCTAACCTGCATGTTATGAGCCACTGTGTTGATGACAGCACCGTTGGCAGGCTTAGGCTGCATGTTATGAGGTTAGCAGATGCTTTATTAGAGTGTAAATCTTAGAACCTGATTAAGAAATATGCACTTAGGTGTGGGGTCAACAGGCCTTGGTAGTGTAATTTGAAGAAATTGGTTGAGTTTGGGTCATAGCTACAAGCCATATGGCACAATGAATGAGTGTATGTAAGAAAGAGGCTTTTATTTCGTAGAGTCCCTTTAGTCTTATTTTGAAAGTCTATCATGGATGTGTGTCAAGGGAAGGGTCATGCCAGGCAGTGATATAGAATCCATTTCTAAATATGCAATCACTTGTTTTCCATGTTATTGGGTGAATAGATGCTGTGTTAGAGCATAAATGGGAGACTTTTATTGTGAAATTCGCTCTGGGGTATGTTTTGAAAAGGTCCCTAGAGTCTAATAGAAACAAACTGGTAGAGTTTGGGTCATAATGCTGAGCCATTTGCATCAATTAATACACAAGTATAATATAGAGGCTTTTATTTTGTAGGGTCACTGGAGTCTTATTTTGAAAGTCTAGCATGGTTGTGTGTTGAGTAAAGTGGTCAGACCCAGCAGTGATATTTGATGACTTTCAAATCCTTAAATCACTCTTTTCCCCTGTTATTAGGGCAGTAGATGAAGCGGCAATGGGAGGCTTTTATTTTGGGAAAATTTCCCTGTGGGGGTGTTTTTGAAAACCCCCCCTTAAGTCTTTTTTTAAAAAAAAAGGGGTTTTGAGTTGGGGACCCAAAAAATTTAAACCCATATGCGGGGAAAAAAAAATATGAGTTTAATGTAGGAGTTTTATTTTTAAAGGGGCCCCCGGAAAGTTTTTTTTTGAAAGCTATCAGGGTTGCATGTAAAGGGAAGGGGTTTTTGGCCGGGTATCTTTTTGAAATCATTCCCAAAATTTTTTAAATAAATTGTTGCCCCCCTCCTTTTAAATTAAAGTTTTCTTTTTAAAAGTGGGGGAGGTAAAATCCCCTTTAAAACCCCAGGGTTTTTACCTTGAAGCAAAACGAGCCTGTCAGTGACAGAGGGGGACATGCGCATCACTTTCTTTCCTTAGTTCTTGGGGTTTTTTTTGAATGGGTTTAAATTCACCGGGAACAAACAAGTGCGGGAAGCAAACCGTAAATGGTACAAAAAAATTTTCCCTTTCTGCCCAAACCCGAGAGTTTAACCTTTGTCCCCGGATTGGGAAATTTTTTAAATGGATGTAGTCATTCAAAACCTTAAGGGGAAGGAGGAAAAAAAAGGGTTTTTGGGGAAAATCCGGGTGGTCTATTGAATAAACATGCAGCAAAAAGGTTTAGAGCAAAAAACTCTCAAAAGAAAAAAATTTTCCCCTGGAACAAAGGGCGGTGACCCAAAAACCTTTTTAGGAAATTCAAAAAAAATTCTTTCCCCGTAAAGCCAGCCTTTCTTTGGCCAAAAACCTGGGGGACTTTATATTTTACAATATTTGGGTTCTGGGCCCGGGGGAGACGTTTTGAAAAAAAAAGTGTAAAATTTGTAAAAAATCCTGTTTTTTGGGGGTTCGGACAGATTTGTTTACCCCCCGAAAAAAACCTTTTTCCCTAGCAAAAAACGAAAAAAGATATCGACACACTTCCTTAAACATTTTTGGGGTTGTAAGGGAAGCCCTTTTGGGGAAAAAAATTTTTTTTAACACCAAGGCCTTCCATTTTTGGGGGGTTTTCGCCCCAAAACGGGGAAAAAAATCCCCCAAAATGGGGAAGGCCGATCCGAAAAAAGTTCATTTTTTTTTTAAAAAATTTTTCATTTCCCGGATTTTAAGGGGGTGGCCCATTGGAAAATTTCCTTTTTTTAAAAAAAGTTTTTTTTGATTTTTTCCCTGGTCTGGG